CACTGATGTACATAATAGATATTAACATCCGCCAAAAAGATAAACTTACATTACCCTTACACTGTGCTTACACCATACTGAAATGTATAAGCACAGTTTTTCTTACTGCATCTCTAATGGCATAAGTGATGCCAACTTGACAAAACTAGACCAGGGTTGGATCAGGAACAGCAAACGCAATTACATTAAATACCTATCATATTAAAAACCAAGTAACGAATTTTTAAAAACAATACAGTATCACAGACAGTCCGGCAAATCAACAATAAATGAAAGTGGATATTACACTCTGATTCTTCAAAAGGTAGGTCTTTTTTCGAGAAGAGAGATCGCAACATACAAATAAAACTATTGTAAAGGTGCATCCAGACTTGGGAATTTTAGCCTGAACCAACAGAAGGAACCAAACGCGCAGAGCCGAATGCCCCCATTTTTTGTATTTTTTGCTAGTTTTCTAGTTTTTTTTAGTCAGTATACCTAGTCCTGTACTATTACTATTTGGTCATCTGCAAAAAAATAGCCAATAGAATGTCTCCATTACGTAGTGAAATTGAACATATAGTACAGCTAAAAATATCGATAAAATTTCACCGCCTCGTTTAATGGCGATTTTATTTAACGACTTGTTGGATTTGGGTTGAAATTGATATTTACCGTTTTAGCATAGAGCGGTGGGCGCTTGCAAATATAAATGTATATTTTATAGACCCGCTAATTTGTGGACTTGATAAATCGTTCAATTTGCGTTGAATGGGCGGGCAGTATAATACACCCAAATGAAAACGTATGGATGGATCGGTTTTATTACAAAACTGTACAGCTGAAATGGTCTTATCAGTAAAAGTTCATTTATAACAATATACCTACAACGACTATTAATTTCAATTAGTAATAAATTGGGAATCGATCTGGAAAAATAATTTCAATTTTCTATGGCATTTATATAGTAGTATATGTTAGTTACAGTGGGGGGTCTTTAGTGTTACGACAGCAAAATAAAATACTAATTCACCCTACGTTCATTCCCTACACAAAGTTGAATAAGAATATTTTGTCAAAGATGGTAGCACATGTTAAAAAACTCTGTAACGATCTTATTGATCTTCCTTTAAAAAGAAAACTGTAGGTATCCAATCCTCCTTAGAATGGTCATTGACGGAAACAGTACTGGAAGAGTTTTCAGCTCACGGGCTTGAAACACCCTCAAAAAGAAAATTCTTACTTCTCCAACTGTGGATGACATACCAAGAAGTTACAAATTTGAAAATAACCTGACTGTAGTATTCAGTAATAAAAAGGATTGGATGAAATAAACGTTTGCTAAGCATGTAAAAGACCATACTATAATGTGGTATACAGATGCTTCCAAAACCAAAGCAGTGACATAGGAGTCTTTGGACCGAAAACTAAATACTCCGAATCAATGGGTACCTACCCCAGCATCCTTCAGGCAGAAATATCCGCTACCGAAAGATGCGAACAATTTATCTTAGATATGAACTATCGAAATCAGGAAATAGCCATCTTATCCGATATTCAAGCAGCACTAAACGCTATTAACTCAGTAACCATCAATTTGAAATTGGTCAAAGAATGCCTAGAGAAGCTCAACAAATTAGGCAAAGAAAATATAGTCCTTCTACTCCGGATTAGGTTATGATCTATCTAGAAAAGAAGCGAACCCTCTATTAACTGGACCAGAATCGTTCTGTTTATCAAGGGGAAACCAACTGAAAGCGGGACTGAAGAATCTGGAAGATCCTTAACTTGGTATGGGTGTCTTCCAACGGTCTAAGACACTTGAAAAAGTTCCTCAGAACTCACGACGGAGAAAAATCAAAGATTTCCTTGATTTAAGTAAAAACAATCTTCGGATTGTCACAGGTTTTCTAACAGGACACTGTTTCCTTAACGATCACCTCAGTAGGCTGAAGCTAAGAAACAACGGCAAATATAGATTCTGTGGGGAAAATGGGGAAACACCAGAACACTTTATCACTGAATGCGCCGAGCCGACCGACGACCGTTCCTGCCATGAACTTTGGTACGGCTGATGTCAAAGACGGAGAGCTGGCCTCTATAGAGCCGTCTCAGATACTGGCTTTTATTAAAGTCCTGAGACTGTATTATTAGTTATAACTCATTATAACTCAAGAAATGAGAACACACAGTAGATGTGTAAAGTCGTGGTGATTAACTCCCCTCCTAAACATAATACAGTCTACACATTAACAATTAAAAATATAATATTACATGATTTTCCCAAGCGTTATGGTATCGACAACAAAACCGTGATTGAATATATTCAGCTTACATTGTTATTACTATGTATGAAAGAAAATTGTTTTCATTTTAATAACAACTTTTTTGAATAGCGGAAAGGTACGGCAAAAATCAGTTTGAGTAATTTCCACGAGTATGGTTAAGTATATAGATGATATTTTTGCTGTTTTTGACGTACATTCTGACACCATAGATACCTTTATTTCTAAATCAAATAATAATTTTCCTTCCATTAAATTTACCTATGAAATTGAGAACAACGTTAGATTACTATTTCTAGTTGTAGTAATTATTAGAAAGAATAATTGCCTGGAATTTAACATCTATAGAAAAAATAACTAGAAGTTATGAAGCTATAAAATGTTGTTGCGGGAGAGTTGAATATGCGGGAAAGTTAAGTTATTGATTGTTATTGCACCGAACAACCATGTAATTACACCCTCCTTTACGTGTTAACATTTTTCCGACAATTTTATTAATATTTGAAATTGTCACACCAGGCGACGACGGCGACGCGACGCCCAGTTCAGGTTGTTTTTCACTTAATTTTTACTACCCGAAACATCGTTACATCAGAAAACTAATGTAAGTGTTTTTTAGTTTCAATAACTGCATTATTAAAAACTAAAATATTTAAATATTATGCCAAAGCCACGATTTTAATATTATTTCAACGCGATCAAGTATTGGTCCCGGATTTAGACAATTTTATCATAATTCTCCGATATATAATTGAAATATTCCTGGTAGCTTTTTTGTTAAAGATATATACACGGTTGTTCACCACATACGACACAGAGTATTGTGGCTAAACGATGATATTTTTACAAATTGTAAGTTTGGGGTTCGTTGAAGGACTATTAGAGCTCCAATTTAAAAATATTTTTACAAGATATAGAGTGTCTCAAATAAATAAAAAATATCAAAGTTGTATTTTTTTAAATGGAACACCCTGTATAGTATTACATTTTTAGTTTCTACGATTAAAATAAAGGTAAATTTGATTAAGGTTTATTATACTTAAACCTTACCGTTTTTGAAATATTTTCAATTTTGTGAAATTGCAGTAAACATTTTAAAGCTTCATTTCTCCAAGGGTATCAATGTTTTTAATACTAAATATTTAATGAAGTTTATTTATTGATCAGTTATTGTGTTGCAATAATAAAAATAATACTACCTTATACAGAGTGTCTAAAAATTTATTTTAAATAATTATTAGCTTCAAACGGCAATAACTTCTTTAATTTAAATGGAATGCCCTGTATATTTTAGGAGAATCAGATGCACAATTAAATTGTCTATCAAATTGTATTATACCATTTTTTACCTATCCCTTCAAGTTTTCGTATAAAATGCATTTTCTTATAATTTAGACCTCATTTATCAATATATCAATGGAATATTGACATTTTAGATTGTTTTTAAAGCAACAAATGTACAAAATGTACAGACTAGTAATATTATCGTTTTTAGCAAAACGATAATATTACTAGCCCATTTGTATGCAAAAAGAAAACTATTTAAATCTTTATAAAAGAGTATACCATTAATTAAATATAACACCATTATTTGCGCCCATATACTAATTAATTACATACTTAATTGTGTTCGTTATTAAATTATTATAAATAAATGTGGATTTGAGTCAGAAATCAATATAATAATAAGTTATCAAATTAAAGTCTCTGTAGTTATAAATAAGCATTTATTAAAAAATGAAATATCATTTTTAAGGTGTTACTTTTTATCACACTGTCTAATGCCCATACAAAATTCAGTTTTTTAGTATTTGGAGCAATTATTATTAATCAAAGCAAACAGTCAGTTAATGTTGTTTGAATACTGGAATCATATTAACTGATCCTCTTTAACAAATATTTAAACAGTTTTTTTTATTTTTTAATGAAATAAACGAATTATATCGACAATATCAGTATCTGTACTCTTTAAAAATTTGGTACATCTTTAAAAATAATCTAAAATGTCAATAGTCCATGGGTATATTGATAAATAAGTTCTAAATTGGAACGGAAACTTAAAGAGATAGGTAAAAAATGGTATAATATAATTTGATAGACAATTAAATTGTGCATCTGATTCTCGTAAAATATAGAGGGTGTTCCATTTAAATTAAACAAGTTATTGCCGTTTGAAGCTAATAATTATTTAAAATAAATTTTTAGACACTCTGTATAAGGTAGTATTATTTTTATTATTGCAACACAATAACTGATCAGTAAATAAACTTCAGTAAATATTTAGTATTAAAAACTTTGATGCCCCTTGGAGAAATGAAGCCTTAAAATTTTTACTGCAATTTCACAAAATTGAAATATATTCAAAAAACGGTAAGGTTTAAGTATAATAAACCTTAATCAAATTTACCTTTATTTTAATCCTAGAAACTAAAAATGTAATAATATACAGGGTGTTCCATTTTAAAAAATACAACTTTGATATTTTTTACTTATTTGGGACACTCTGTATCTTGTAAAATTATTTTTAAATTGTACCTCTAATAGTCCTTCATCGAACCCAAAACTTACAATTTGTAAAAATCTCATCGTTTAGCTACAATACTCCGTGTCGTATGTGGTGAACAACCCTGTATATTTGTGACACATTGTGAATAACTAAGATGGAATTAATACTCGTAGAATAAATAGATTTAATGTTGTGTGTTTGCGGCGTCTTATTTATATCTTCCATTTTAGATATTTTTTAGGGATTCCAGAGGGAAAACCTGGAGAGCTACACCTGTACAGGGTCACGTCGGTGCCCCCGAGGACTGGAGCCACTCTGCCGCCTCCAATCTGCCTCACTTGCGTCAAAGTACCGACGCCTACATCACCTCCATATATTTCTTTCGACGAAAACATCTATAAATTGAAAAAAGGTAATTTAAATTTAAAATAAAATGAAATAGAATCTGTCTAGTGATAAAAAAGTTTATGAGAGACAGTTGTAATTGTAATATATTTAATAACATCCAAAAACGACCAAACATTTTTTGAATTAAAACGTACCACTCAATAGCCTCATATGAAAATTACAAGTCTAAACATGATTTGCGGTACTTTTAATAGAATTTTTTTAGCTAAGACTAACATGACCCTGTTTGTTTTGATTTTATTAACAATATACGACTTTCAGATTTTTCTCTGCTGTACAAATTAGTACAAGATCTACAAAAAGATTTGGTCACTCATACGATTATGACCGCACATACCGTTGATTCTCACTATACCTTCCGTTTCCATTCCTTATCCATTCCATTTCCGTTCCGTATTTTGGAATTTACGCTATACGTAGGCTTCCGTTCCGTATCAGTTCCATACTTTTTACTGTACAATTTATAGGATTACGAAAGTTTTATTTTAAAAATGTGTGTCTTTTGAAAGGGGTATTAGATTTAATTAGAATGTGAAAGAATAAATAAATATCAGCAAAATGTTTATAGAGCTGGTACTAATGTAAGAACTTGACAACGCTGTTTCCGATGCGCTTCAGTCCTTCCGCCAAAAAAACGTATGGAAGGAAAGGATATGGAACGGAAGGAAAACGGAACGGATAGTGCGCATTGTCCTATACATTTACATGATATAATATTTTATGTGGGTGGGAACGGAAAATAGCTGATATGAAACATATAGTGAGAATCAACCTTAAGACGGTATTATTTGCCAAATTTCATAGTTCTAGGTCAACGGAAAACACCCCATAAATTTTGATTCCATAAACAGCCGTATCTTTTTTTTTTCGGTAACTTAGAAGTTTGATTTTTTCACAGCTTCAAGGACCTTGTCTTTTGTAGACTTGAATATATTTTTTTAATTTTAACTCAATATCTGCATGCGTTCCAAAAATAAAGGGTTTTGACAGACTGACGGACGGACTGACAAAAAATGATCCTATAATGTTTCCGTTTTTTCCTTTTGAGGTACGGAACCCTAATTAATTTAATTTTAATTAATTGGGTTAATTTTTTTTTAAATTCTGATAAAACTACTGAAAAGAAAGGTAGCAAAAAAGATTTGTAAAATTAAAATTAGAGAGCGAAGCAGTTGATGTCAAAAAAATTTGCATATCTCAACTTCAGCATGGAAATGAGTGAAATCTCAGCCAAAATGTTGCTTACATTCATAGTATCTAAGTAATTTATCTCCATTATCGTTATTCCCTCCATATACACTATCCTCCGTCTCTCCAAAAGCAAACGTTCTAATTGGTTGCTTATTTAGTATGGCTTCATTATGATAGCGTTCGTATAGGAATATCTATATTTACATTGCCAGTTATGTTAGGTAATTAGCTTGCATTAATATAAAAAAAATTAAAATACTTCATAAAAATATACATGTCGTGGGCGTAAAGTAAATTTAAGTTTATTTTTAAAAACTTATTCAGTCATCAGTTTCAGAAATCGTCAACTGGAGCATGTAATGCATTTTTCATTATGACTAAACCATTTCAACCAAATCGATAACATGCCGTCAAAACAAGAACATAAGAATGCATATCACCTTCTGACTAATCAGTTTTAGGCATTTTATGTTATGACAAAAGTCAGAATGTGAAGGAAATTAAAAATATTATTAATTATAACAACACAGTTAGAGCGGTTAGAGTAAAAATGACATTTAACCACTATGACCCAACAGAAATATCAAAACATAAATAAATATTAAACACAAATTAGCTTAAAAAATTGTCCCTATTTGAACATTTAGGTAAGAATGTACCTACCTATTATTAATATACACTCAGATGCAAAAAAAATGCAACGGAGAAAATTTTGGTCAAATTTAAAGTGTTATATTTTTGTTATTTTTACCCCTATTTTTATGAATTGTTTAGCAAGCTGTATATAACTATTATATCAACTTTAATTCGTATACTCATTTTTTAATAAATTTTAGTATTTGGCATACTATACAGGGTTAATCGAGGGGTTGTTTTTTTACCCAAATTTTAAAACACCCTGTGCAATTTTTCGTGTGTTAATTTTCCTAAATTATAATTTTACGGTCAGAACCATGTCTCCTGAGCATTTTGTTTTTTGATGTATGTCAATACATGTTTTGGTTAATTTTTAAGAGCGAAATAAACTTGACACCAACAATTACAATTTTTTTCAATTATCATTTCTTTTTGAAGTTATTTTTCAATATGACAAGGCGCCCTGGTTATTATTGTGAACTATACGCTACTATGAACTGCCCATCATGTTTAGCGTTTGGGAAATGCTTGGCAAGAGTTAAAAGTCGCGAAGCGTTACCAGCTTCATTAAATGAATTTTGCTTCGTCCTTAAAGAAGAATAGGAAAACATAACGCAATATGATATATGCAGCCTCAATGACAGTATGAATGGACGTATACAGGCAGTTATAGCAACCAAGAGAGGCAATACAAAGTATTAGGGTATTCTTTACAATTTTTGTTTTCTTGTTGTATATTTGAGTATTACATATTGTTTCTTTAATACTGTTATCGTTATTAATATTTATTAAAATTCAGACTCTATCGTTAGTTTTTAACGTTTTTAGTATTGAAAATACTTCTGGCCGCGTTTATATGGGACCCATCTTTGAAAAAACGACATGCTAGAGGCGACATGGAGATAAATAACTTGCCTAATCAACTTGTCAACACGTAAGTCGATAGTTGAATAGAGCAATGCCGTACTATTTTATGGATATGGATGTTTAGTCTATGAAAGCCGATATTATTATAAAAAAGAATATGCGTCAAGGCATGGGTTGTTAAGTACAGTTGGGCTATTTTAATAACTCTTTCCGTATGAGATGCAGGCAAATTATACGTGAAAGAGCGGAATAACATAAATAATAAATTTAGGCTAATGCAATATTTTTTCTTGGCGCGTAGGATAATGCGCACAATCGATGCATTAAAGGGAATAATTAATTAAATCATTAAGTTCCAAAACATATCTGTACCCCAGGATAAAAGTGTACTAAGTCCAAATTATCGATTTTTGGGAAAAGTCAATTAAAGAGTTATTTTTGCAATTTTGTAATTTTTCCGATTTGTTTATTTTATTAGAGCATTCAAAATTTTTATAGGAGAAATATTACTTATTATTAATAGGTACCCAATACAGTTTTAAAGAAAGTGAGTTTTTACTTGCGTTTTGGAGTTAGATTTTTTTTTGGACTTAATATTATTTTGTTACAATGTTATGTGAAGTAATAGGTCTTGATACTGACATTATTTTAATACAAGCTAGAGAAACAATGTGTTAAGTAAGAGTACTGCTTTAAAAAAATTTCATTTTTTGAAGTTCGGTGGTAGATTTCACCGATCAAACCTAAGCTTCTCTAATGGCCTAAATTTCCGATAGATTTTTGAAATTTATTAACACTAGGGATTTTTAATAATTAAAAAATTAAAGTCGAGTCATCCAATTTCGTTTAAATAAATAAAAGTAATGTAACTCTTTTCAACAAGATTTTAATAGTAAATTTAAGGTGTCAAACTAAAAAACATAAAACGTATTTTTCTTAAGTGTACCCACAGGTGCTCAACCATACTTCATTAATTCTCATCTTCGTGTTGACCATCTTCTACATTTGCGTGCTTTAAGTTTTTGTAAAATTCGTGAAACTGTTTTGGTATCCACTTTAACAATGTTTGAAGATGGTTAAATTTTTTTGAAGATAAAGGATTAGCTTCAAATCTTAAATTTGGAACTTCTGCGGGGAATGTTGCTCTTCTTCCGGTCCGAATTAAATCGATCGATTGGAAATTCATAGCACCAAAGTTGGTTTTAAAGTACAAAATTCCATGGTCTTCTGCACGCACTTGTAAAACTACAACCTTTGATATAGCGAAGTCACTACCTGTGCTATCTTTTTTTCGGGATATAAATGGCGCCGTAGAACTGCAAAACAATTGCTTAAAATCTTTAAAATCCTCTATTTCCATGTTTATGATTTCAAAGGGATTATTTATGCTGCACATTCGTGCTATTTGCTGCCAATCCCATGGCGTCATTATTTGAAAACCAACAGTCTTTTTTTTCTCGCGCTCAATTAGGGAATGACATGCGTCTACCTCTAGATGAGTATGGCCTCTCAATAAGAATTTATGCTCAATCCTTTTCAAAGATGGAAATTTTTTGAGAAGATAAAAATAAGCCATTACCATAATTAAATTTCGGTTCTGGGATGGGCAGTTATCGGACCAGATAATTAGAATTTCGTGAGTTGGCTTTATATTTGACATTGCCCATTTTAACATTCCAGAAGCCATCTCATTAGCACCACGCCCAGATTTAGACGTCCCACATTACACATGTAGTGACTTTGTTGCTGACATTGTAGACGGTATAATTGTAGGTCCATAATTTCAAACTATAAAAGCTTTGAGAGTTTGTTAACACTGGTGTAGGAAGACACTTCTGCATATCAACACAAACCATTATGCTTTTGAATTTATCTTCCAAATATTTTTGTTTATCTTCTTTCTTCAACTTATACCTCTTTGAAGCTTCTTCTAAATGTAAATCATATTCCTTCTGCAAAGTTTCCTTTTTCTACTATACTAGGTTCTCACGCAATTTTATTAAAAAATGATCACATTGATCGCAAGTGTCATTATCTGGCTATTTGAAGGAGAGAGGTTAAATTCCGTATTAAAAATTTCAGCATATAACCATTCTTTGGCGATATGAGCCTGCTCTACATTATTTTCCTCACACTCTGCTTGATACATTCTGTACATTTTTGCGATGCTTAAATGACTTCCCAAAATTTTCTAGCAGATCTTTCTCGAGAATAGTGCGATTCCTCAACTGGAAACTTCCCTATGTGCTCACGAACATGTTGCTTAACGAATTCAGGCGTTTTGGCGTGTTGGTCATGTTTACCTCTCCC